TTTGACGCAGCATCAATAGTATCCTAAATCACATAAGGAAGAGACATATATTTGATTGGCAAAAAATGAATTGAACATGAACATATTACATAAGATATAATGATTTATTTTTAAAATTTTTACCACCAACACCATGTTTTCTTTAATCTTGACATCATCTTTATATGTCGAGCGAAAGGTGCCGTAAGCTAACTTTGCCTTCAAATTGATCGGCATTATCGGCTTCCCCTACAAAGTATAATAAATTAAAATTGTTTGGCCATATTGATAATTGTAGCATGTGAATACAATATTTAAATATTATACCGTGTCTCGACAATAACGGTACTCAAGATTGGCAAAGGACGTCGATCCCAAGTGGTGGTCAAGCTTGCGCTTACTAAGACGGTTCGTCGAGCCCTTCTTAGATTTATTCTACAAAACAATATATGTTACTAAAGAAGAAATGTATCTACAAACTGTACTGCGTATCAATATTAAAATGATCAATACCTGCGCTGACTCGGTATCCCAATATAAAAGAAGCGCCGTGAAATGATCGATGTCAACCCTCTCATCGACATTCAAATATCTCTGCCAATCTTGTGTATATTTGTCATATGTTGATACCTTCAGCTCATGCCGCCACTGTTTGAGCACGACCTCAACCTTTATGTTGAAAACATAGTGCCACGCTCCAAGGTAATCCTCAAGACAATAGTAATCCTATTTAAGAGGCAGCTTAAAAATGCAAAATCATATTTACAAAAGTCACATAAGCAACACACTATTTGTTCCAGCTATATATGACTGCACAGTTAGTGTTCCTAAAGATCAACCATATCAGCTTCATCTATGTGATGCTATATATGACTGCTTAGTTAGTGTTCCCAAACATTTCTGACATGCAGTAAACAAGAAATTTCAAGAGTAAACAAGGTTCTAAAGATCAAACATATCAGCTTCATCCATGTATGACTGCACAGTTAGTGTTCCCAAACATTTCTGACATGCAGTCAACAAGAAATTTCAAGAGTAAACAAGGTTCTAAAGATCAAACATATCAGCTTCATCCATGTATGACTGCACAGTTAGTGTTCCCAAACATTTCTGACATGCAGTAAACAAGAAATTCAAGAGTAAACAAGAAATTCAAGAGTAAACAAGAAATTCAAGAGTAAACAAGAAATTCAAGAGTAAACAAGAAATTCAAGAGTAAACAAGAAATTCAAGAGTAAACAAGAAATTCAAGAGTAAACAAGAAATTCAAGAGTAAACAAGAAATTCAAGAGTAAACAAGAAATTCAAGAGTAAACAAGAAATTCAAGAGTAAACATTTCTGACATGCTATATATGACTGCACAGTTAGTGTTCCTAAAGATCAACCATATCAGCTTCATCTATGTGATGCTATATATGACTGCACAGTTAGTGTTCCCAAACATTTCTGACATGCAGTAAACAAGAAATTCAGAATTAGGATAGAATACATCATTGTAAGATCATAGAATATATTCTCAAGGATGACTATCATAGAATACAGTCTCAAGCAATGATTTACATACAATATAAACTTTATAACCATATCAGCTTCATCTATGTGGGATCCCAATTAATAGGTATATATCCGCTACTTCTGTTTTGTATTCTTGACAGGATGCTTTACTAGGTATATAAGCACATAGTGGAAGGCACAGTTTGGTGAAGAACTACGTAAGCCAATCGGTCGGCCCATTAAATCATTAATGGTAAGTAATTATGCATCAACGTGAGGTGAGAAAAGAATATGAGAATGCACTAAACTAGATAAACATATATCATCAGTTCTAAAACATATGTATTCTTATGTATTCTTATGTATTATGATTCCTAAAATATACAATTTTATAGTACTCAAGTATTGAAAAATACTGAACTAATGAACATATATACCATCAGGTCTCTCCATATATCTTCGTATGCTTTCCATGGAAGCTCCTTGAATTTGAAGTACGGGTTCACTATAGTCGCTCTCCGTACTAAAACACCGATGTAGTTGTTCAATTTTTTCGACCAAGGTCCGATTGGCAAATTATCGGACCACTGAAGAATACCCCGAAATCCGGTCGGTGCTTGTTTTGAATCGGGCTTGCTAGCACCCCGTCCAATCTGTTCTTTATCATCTCGCTTCGCCCCTACATTGTCAACATGTTTAGTACCCACTGGTTAAGTGAAAAAATGCAGCCGGGAATTAACAAATTTACTAATTTACCTCTCTCCACTTCTCTATTCATCGCAGCAAGAGCAACTTCCTTCCTCAATTTCATCATATCCCTCAGTTCAGCTAGCCTTTTCTGTGCTTGCGGGTGATTCTTCATGGCATTAGTTTTTGATATGATCGATTCTGGAGGCAATGGTAGATGTCTAACATCCGGAGTCCAGGCACGTAAATCGGACCCCGCTGCTGGCTGCGAAAATGAAGGTGTCCAAGTACCCTCTGAACATCAATAAATAAGATAGTCAATAAGATAGTCAATAACCTGTAGCGTCCAAAAATGGTTCATTTTTCAACCATTTGATACATGGACAAACGATTTCTGAAGTACATGGACAAACAGTTGATAATCTTCTATTAACCTTTTACTATGTTATCTTGAGGTATCTCAATATTTAATTTAAAGCAGTTGCTAAGTGCCAAATAATTTGACTATGAAATACAACTCAGAATGGACCCACTTCCTGACGATATGCCAAATAATTTGACTATGATTATGTTATCTTGAGGTATCTTAATGTAAACATACACTTTGAAGTATCAGTAAATAAGATAGTCAATAAGATAGTCAATAACCTGTAGTGGGGGATGCATGTGTATCACTGAGTCCGGGTGAAGAGTAATTTGTGCCTGGAATATTATCTATGCAAACAAAAAAGTGTTCACTAACAGACAATAGATCTGAAAATGCTAGAGTTACACTTTAAATATGATTGAATTATCAATATAAATACCTATATGAGGCGATAAAGCTAGAGTTGTGTCCCGCAGACGACCTGATAATTCAACATCATCTACACATAAAAAAATACTTAATGAGTACAAATTATGAGCGAAACATATTACTTTGAGTTGTCCAGAGATAATTGATAATTCATACCTATATCTCTAGGTGATGCCCGATGTGCCTCATCAAGATGCTCTGACCCTAGGCTGGTAGACCTTGACCGATCACGCGATCGATCAAATAACCTTGTATTCTTCATCTGTACAATTTGAATTAGGAGATGCAAAACAAGAAATACCTTTATGCAATAAAATATTATATTGCAATTAAATATAATCATAACACAATGTGATTACTGAATTGACTTATTAAAGATGTATACCTTCCGTGGGTTGCTATTTTCGTATTTTTCGAGGTGAATCTAGTATTGTTCTGGCGATATTCAATGTTGTCTGTTTTCGCCTACTAATTCTTGACCTTGTTTGCACATCTGGCTCGGGTCCTCTATCACTGGCTAAAATTGGTTCGTCAGCCTGAATCTCTGCGTCTGTCATATCAAGCATGACGTTCTGAGGGTAAGAGAAGTTTTGCCAAATTTCATCAGATGACCCAATTGGTTCGTTGTCCTCATCACTATCATCGTTATTATTAGGAAGGACAATAGATCTTGGCTCCTTATACAACACGACCCAATCATGTGCAACATTTGGGTCTTTCACATAGAAGCATTGGTCCGCCTGTTCTGCGAATATGAACTTCTCATCTAGATAAATCTCTTTGTCGAGATTTACAAGTGTAAACCCATAGTGATCCCTGCGCGGTTTGGCAGGACTCCATCGAACCTTAAACATTGTATATTTACGCTGAGTTTGTTTGCCATATCCGTAAATCACCTCTACAATATCTTCCAACTGGCCATAATATAATATGTCAGCTTCAACTGGGTTCTGATATCTTATGCTTGAAAAACATTCCTGAGCAAAACACCCCATGACCCCACTATTTTGTGTTACCCTTTTATCATCGGTCGCCACTGTTTTAAACTTATATCCATTAATGATGTGTTCACTATATCGTCTTACTTCATAGTAAGGACATTGTACGTGAACTAAAATATCTTCAGATAGTACGACACCAGCGAGAACGTCTTTCTCAACCTAAACCGAACATCAATCGAACAAAAATTATCTTTGTCTGCTTAAAAAATTTAAATTGAAAAATACAATAATAGTGCTACGCTACTTACATCGGTTCTGAACCAATCGGGAAAATCTTTGATGTGTTTTTTTTGAATAGCATGTACTGCATTCATGCCTGATATTTCAGTGTTAAGCTTCTCCAGATGTTGCCTATTAGAACAATGAATATGGTTGTATTTGTATAATGAAAGTAAATAATTCATCCAAGGTCAACATAGCTATATTAATATATATTACCTTCGATAATCGTTGAAAATGTCAAGATTATTCAATACATATGCATGAACCTGCTCCAAGTCAGATCTTTGATATTTTACGAGTTTCTTCTCCTTAGTTGGGGTTTGATCAGCTGTTACACGATTGCGCATGTAACGTGATGCAAACGTATGACATTCGTTGGTCACGTAACCTTCAGCCATAGAACCCTCAGGATGAGCTCGATTGCGAACTAGACGCTTCATAAACCCCAAATATCTACAATAATTAAAATTTTATGAACTACAAATATCTAATCTAAAGAAAATCATGAATATGATTAATATTAACTGTGTACACTGCATATGAAATTAATGCACTGGGTAAAGTCTCTTACCTCTCAATTGGGTACATCCAACGGTAAGATACAGGACCCGCAATGATTGCCTCGCTAGCTAGATGTTGAGTAACATGGACCATGACCGTGAAAAAGGAAGGAGGAAATATTAACTCCAGGTTGCATAAAATTAATGATATTTCTGTTTCAAGCTTTTTAAATTCATTCAGATCTATAACTTTGGAGCACAATTTCCTGAAGAACCCACAATACTCCATAATAATTTTCGATGCATCTTTCTCCATATTATTACGCAATGCAACCAATGGGTAATTGATGTAGAAGAACATGATAATCGTGTGTCTTTAGGCCTAAGAGTTTCCTCTCCTGCACCTGAACATTATTTGATATATTAGATGAATACCCATCTGGTGACTTTACTGATTTGAGGACCTCACAAAATCTCTGCATCTGCTCTGTCGACATCGTAACACGAGAGGAAGGCTTATGTTTTTTCTTAAGACCAACATCTTGTTCTTGCAACTCTTCTCGTATATTCAATGCAGCTAAGTCTTGACGAGCCCTTAGGTCATCCTTTGACTTATTAGGATCTTGAAGGAGGGTTGAAACTATGTTGTCACAAACATTTTTCTCAATATGCATGACATCCAAGTTATGCCTGATTTTAAGCTTTTGCCAATATGGTAGCTGGAAGAAGATACTGAATTTACTCCATCCCTTTGGTAATTTATCGACTCCATTATCAACATATGCCCGTTGGATTGCTCTCTTCCTCTTCAGTGTCTTTTTCTTTTTCCCGGAGCCTCTAACCTTGAGTGAGTCGTACTTAGAATATCGGTTCTTACCAAATCTTATTTTTGGAAGATGCTCAAGCAACTTTACAATATCAGCACCGGTCATTTGACGTGGTTTATTCCTAGTCTCAACAGTGCCATCAAACTTATTGCTTAATTTTCTGTATTTATGGCCCGAGGGCAACCATCTCCTGTTGAACCAATAACAACATTTTCGACTATATGGTAAGTGAAGGCCTTCAAATTCTGGACCACATACTGGACAAGCAAACTTGCCTTTTGTAGACCAACCAGAAAGATTAGCATAAGCTGGAAAACCATTAATTGTCCACATTAGGATAGCACGAAGTCTAAACGACTCTTTTGCATGTCCATCATATATCAACATACCTTCCAACCATAACTGTTTTAGCTCATCAATTAAGGGCTCTAAGTAGACATCAATATTATTACCTGGTGCATGCTTACCTGGTATCAGTAATGAGAGTATCATATACGGTTGTTTCATACAAAGCAGTGGGGGTAAATTATATGGCATTAAGATAACTGGCCATGTAGACCAACCTGAACTCATAACCCCGAACGGATTGAATCCGTCGCTAGCAAGCCCAAGTCTGACATTTCTGCATTCATGAGCAAAATTGGGAAAAGTCTTATCAATATGCTTCCAAGCCTCTGCATCAGCTGGATGTCTCAACTTACCATCTTCTATACGACCCTCTTTGTGCTACCTCATGCTCTTAGCGGTGTCTTTGTTCATATACAGACGTTGCAATCTAGAAACTAATGGAAAATGGCGAAGCACCTTAGCTGGAATCTTGCTCTGCATGTACACTGACTCTGTTGTCCGCCTTGTTGAAGAGCGGGTGCGTTGTTTCCATCGAGATACTCCACATGTTGGACATTCCTGAAGTTCTTTATTATCCTTATAGTAGAGAATACAATCATTAGGACACACATCAATTTTATTGTAATCAAGCCCCAAATCGGAAACTATTTGCTTTGCCGCATAAGTTATTTTTGGAATGCTACGCTCTCCTCCTGGAACTACCTTCCGCAACAAATCAAGAAGCATTTCGAAATAAGTATTTGCCATTCCACTGAGGTTCTTAATATGCAAGAGCTCCAACATAAATGAAAATCTGGAGTACTCGGTGCAACCCTCATACAGATCCTCTTCACTGTCCTCCAGTAGTTTCATTATACGATCCAAGTCCTCAGGAATATGAGCATCTCCAAAGCCTTCTGGGTCATCAACATCTTGAATCTCAGTTGCATCTTGGACATCATCTACGATATCATCTTCACTGTCATTGTTAATATCGTATTCGGTATGGCTAGGTCCACCTTCAGTTTGTAAATTTTCTGTATCATCTATATCAAGAGCATGACTGGCATCAACATGCACATCTGGTACTTCAATTTCAGTATGGCCTTCCCCGTGGTAGGACCAATATTTATATTCAGCGTAAAATCCAGAGTTTGCTAAGTGACTTCGTATTTCATCTCTATTTTTCAGCTTCATATTCTTACATATATAACAGGGGCAGTACATTGTACCGCTACTTAAATTATTTGGGTTCATTTCGCCATACTTCATGAAGGCTTCACATCCATCCCTATAACGTCGATCGCGAAACCGTTCAATCCTAGGGATATCTATCCATGACTTGTCAGGAATTTTCCTCATCTGTAGGTAATATCTAATTAGAAACTCTATTTGATAATAGATAGTATACCCATATATTTTATACTATTCTTAAACATACGTTGCAGCATTTAAGTTAGGCTCATTGACTTATGTTTGAAACTTATTAAGGTAGCTTTTCTATCCCATTAAGAATATAGTAGTACTTACATCCAACTTCATATACTTTGTATATTTTCATTTCCTGAAAATTTCGGCAGCACCTACCCGTTGTTCTCCCTGTACACTGTGCGGATGTTATTATGCGTATTGATAATATACCAAAATGCAGAACATACGCTTATTGTACACGAAGAACAACAGGTACGAGTTGCCGAAATTTTTAAGAAATGAAAACATACAAAGTATATAAAGTTGGATGTATGCACTACTATATTCCTAACCTGTCCGAGAAGGACAGATCCAATAATTACAAATTTATATACCAAATCTTTCCTAGTATAATATAAAATGAACGATCATTTTTGAGTAGAAAACTTTATCTCCTTCCCAAAAATTCGAGTCGTTTATCTTATATTATAACCTCAAAGAATTGGATGTAATTATTGGACGGGAGTCTAAAGATAACGTGATATTTTTTTCACCTAAATTGGATATATAACACATTATTATATAATATTGTGTTATATATTACTCTATTCTTTTGAAAACATTTTCTTCTATAACTCACACTAAATTTAAAATATTGTTGTTAGCAAGAC